TCCCACCTTAGGAACTTCATTTCCCCGTTCTTGTCTTGGCCAATAACCCGTCCCTCCAACAATGAGAGTGTCCATGAGTAACAACATAGTGTGATCTAGTCTCCTGCCACATCTTGTAGCCTTCAGTGCTGAATAGTCCAAAAATTGTGTTGTGTGACAAAGCAGGCAGGGTATATGACACAACTGATTTAGATGACTTATTGTGTGTGAGGGAGGGAGACAGCCTTGGAGGTCTGACAGGACATCATGACATGTTGCAGGGGGTTCCTCAACCAAAAGAGGGTTGAAAACCACTGGGGTAATTTCTAGTTCTGCCTGGATATGCCAGGGACTGAACCTGGGGCCTTCTGGCAACAAAGCTGATGCTCCACAACAGCGCTGTTCTGATTGGATTATCCAGTGCTATTTTCTAGAAAATGAGGTGCCAGTTCTCACCATGAACGCCTCCCTTGTTCTCTTATAATGGGAATGGCGCCCACCTGCGAGTTCCAGTGAGTTTCAGCTTTAAAAAAAAAAGCCCTGGTTATCACTGGAAATGCTGTGCAAACCAAGTATTTTATTGACAGAAGACAGGTAAGGTTTCACTTGATTGAACAACAAAGTCTATGCTGGGATGGGAGGAGACAACATTTAACACAAATCCTACAATCCTCATTTCCCTCATATCACTGCTATTACACACTAGCGCTTACAGTGGTACCTCGGGTTATATACGCTTCAGGTTACATACGCTTCAGGTTACAGATTCCGCTAACCCAGAAATATTACCTCAGGTTAAGAACTTTGCTTCAGGATGAGAACAGAAATCGTGCTCCAGAGACGTGGCAGCAGCAGGAGGCCCCATTAGCTAAAGTGGTGCTTCAGGTTAAGAACAGTTTCAGGTTAAGAACGGACCTCCAGAACCAATTAAGTACTTAACCTGAGGTAGCACTGTATAGGCCTTCACCTACATTATCTCATGGCGAACCTGTGGCCCTCCAGATGTTGCTGGACTGCAACTCCCATCATCCCTCACCATTGGCAAAGATGACTGGGGCTGATGGGAGTTACAGTGCAGCAACAACTGCACTGTTACACAGTGGAGTGGTCGTGTCCGGGGTTCGAGCTGCTTCTCCATTTTATTCCTCCTTCCTGTCTCCAGCCTTCCATTTTTCTTTCTCTCAGCCATCAGTCAGAATTCAAGGACCCCTAAGCTGTTCTTGTGTTTACAACCCCCTCCTTTAATTGCTTTCTCTCCCCCTCCCTCCCCCTCCCTCCCTCTTCCTCCCGCTCTCTTTCTCTCTCTCTCTCTCTCTCTCTCTCTCTCACACACACACACACACACACTTATGCAAACCTTAGGCATTTTCTGAGCCTGCTGGTATTTTCTCCTCATGCATTGGTGGTGCTTTTTTTGACTACAAAAGGCTACATTCAGATAATCTTTGCTGTTAGTATATAGACAAAGATGTACCATTCTAAAATTGTTTCAAACCAAGCACATATCAATTAAAATGCATCTCAGCTTCAGTGGAAAATGACTGTTTTCTGTTTGCTTGGATGCTTTTCTGTTCGGTGCTTTTGAAGCAAACAGAGGACACACTCTTTTTCTGGGCGCTGCCATCTACAAGCAGCAGTTTTATTTCTCACTACTGAGCAAATATTGGCTGCCCTCAGCACTTTGTTCTGTACACTGTTTAAATTTTCTCTACTTCCGATAGGTAGTCATGTGCCAGGTTGCAATTAGAGTTATTTTGAGTTTCACAATCAGTTTTTTAAGTGTGTTAAACATATAACAGGAAAGCTTTGGCTGAAATAAATCCAACAAAATGGCAGCTTAGAAATTACTTTATGAATGCTTTAGGTAGGTTGTTATGGTTTTTGCAGATAATGTTGTTCAATTCTTTTTGTAAGCCGCTTTGAGGCTTTATTACAATCAAGCAGTATATGAGCCTTGTGAAACAAACAAACAAACAAACAAGATGGCATTACCATTTGAAGGCCTCTAGTTTCCAAAGTCTGGCTTTTTAAAAAAAATAGCTGACACAATAATTAATATCACTAGCTCTTGTATTATATATAACAAAACAAATGAACACCGTTGAATCTATAGCTGTTGCTCCCATGAACACCGCTGCATCTATAGCTGTTGCTCCCAGTTTTGAATGCATTCAGGAACTTACACCAACAATGCTCTCCAATTTCCACTGGAATCATTGTACATGTGATGTATGATCAGCTGATCTTGGCTGCATCCTGATGCAGAAAATATTGAATGCCGAGGGACAATGGCATACATCTATGTTTACCAGAAAATCGCCCATGAGTACTGTTGCCACCAGAATTTTTAACTAGAGGGTTCTGTATGGTGAACTCATGGATTAACAGGGCATCACAGACATTTGAGACCCCAAATTCTGCCATCCCTCAGGCTTTCCCACAGGCTTGCCCTGCCCTACATTATGCTCAGCACCAACCACACAGCTCTCCCTTGTTTGGTGGCAGCAGTAGCAACAAGAGACCACAGTGTTACGTCTGTTAGACTCCAGGTGTAGACCTTTAACACTGGTGCACAAAAGCAGCAGCATCTAGGACCACCAGAAAGCACGGGGAATGCATTTCAAACCATGGTTACTGATGCCTTTAAATAGTTCCTATGTTTCCTGCCACCTCCAGATGCTGGTTAGCAGTAACCATGTCAGCCAGGAACCTTGACGCTGGCCTGGAAGCTGTTGTTATTTGCTGCCCACCACAGTTACCATGCAAGCATGTGTCTAGGGGTTAACAGGATCCCCACTTTGAGCCTCAGCTGCCACTGCAACTGGGAGGAAGGAGGAGATCAAGCAGCAGCAGAGGGGCTCCAAGATGAGATACTGAGATTGGATTACAACTGAATGCCATTGAATCCTGATAAGGTCATTGGGAATTACAATGGGCCCAAACTTTAGAATGGGTGCATCTTCCAAAATGATTTATTTTAATGTGTGTGCACCCGCATTGCTCAAGTTGAAACCATATAGAACTGCTCACCCATCATTACCTGGGAGATTAATAAGGCCTTGCCAAATAATGTTTTTACCACCAATATATCACTCTGATGAGAAGAAAGTTGTAAAGTAAAGTAAAATAAAATCAACATCTATGATTGTGACTATTCCCTGCACATCTTTCTTCCAGATGTTTCCTGCTGTTTGCCAAGAAGTGTGCTTGTGAAATTACTATGGAGTCGACCAAGAATCATTCAGATAGCAAAAGCAGTGAGCAAAGGAATCTTTTGGAGAAAGTAAAAGCTTGACTGAAGCAGCGAAAAGCAGGAAATGTGGCTGACAAGAGTGCACATTTTGTAGAGCAGCCATTTATAGGCTAAAGTCCAGCCTAGCCATTAAGCATGTAGCAATTAGGCATGAAAAAAACCTCCCTTTACAAAAATAGCGGCATCTGGAACTACACACCCAGTTCCACTCATCTACATCACTGTATTGTAAATTTTGTGCAAGAATCACAACACTGATAGGTAAGCATAATAAGCTGCAAAGAAGCCCACTTTTCAGTCAAAAAGTAGTTTATTTTCACCCATTTGGACCTTAGTTTGAAAGCTATTAGGTATATTTGTGGCCTCTTTCTTGCTCACTTTTTAGTGGAGTGGGTTGTCTGCCTATATACAGGATGTGTTTTCCTTGTTTTGGGTTTTTTATACTTCATTTTTAATGTATGTATTACCTTGCAAGTTGTTTTGGGTCATTTTTCATGCAAAAAGCAACCAAAAATGAAATTTTTAAAAAATCTAGTTGGCCACTGTGAAAACAGGAGGTTGGGCTTGATGGTCCTGTGGCTTGATCCAGCATGGCTCTTATGTTCTTAAAGGTAAAGGTAAAGGGACCCCTGACCATTAGGTCCAGTCGTGACCGACTCTGGGGTTGCGGTACTCATCTCGCTTTATTGGCTGAGGGAGCCGGCGTACAGCTTCTGGGTCATGTGGCCAGCATGACTAAGCCACTTCTGGCAAACCAGAGCAGCACACAGAAACGCCGTTTACCTTCCCGCCGGAGCGGTACCTATTTATCTACTTGCACTTTGATGTGCTTTCGAACTGCTAGGTTGGCAGGAGCAGGGACCGAGCAACGGGAGCTCACCCCGTTGCGGGGATTCGAACTGCCAACCTTCTGATCAACAAGTCCTAGGCTCTGTGGTTTAACCCACAGCGCCACCCGTGTCCCTACTCATCCATTATTGCTTTACGAGGGGGCAAAAGTCTCCCTCTTACCCTCATCTGCCTACAAATAAGAAATCTTAGTAATGTAATCTCTGTTTTGAACCCTTACCCTGGACAATTTGAAATGCCATGAAACAATAGCAGAGAACAGCTGGCAGCTCCAAATTAGTAGCTCTTTGGGACAGGCCAGCTATTTTGGGGTCAACCATTATTCTCAGCGAGTATAATACTGTTTTACTGGCTTTTATATTGCACCTTGTTTTTAATGATACTCCTTTTATGTTGCATTTTTGTATATTGATTTTTAAATGTTAAAAATAAATAAATCAAATTGAAATAAATCAATTTGAATTTTTTACACCACCTTTTTAAAAATATTGTGGTTCTGCAGAGGTTTGGTCAACTCGGGTCGTTAACATGTGCAGAAAATTAATGTGCTGTAGAAAAAGTCACTTTTTAGATCCTTGATTATGCATTGCATGGCGACAATGATTTCTCTAAGTTGGGCACTGCATTTTTCTTGAGAAGAAAGACAACTGCATTCCATCTATTCCAACTTTTAGCATTAATTCATCCAGGTTCAAGATTGATTCTGTTGTTAGATCTATGAAGTTATGCAGCCGAACATAGTAATGCAACACAATTAATGCAAATAATTAAGAAGGCTGCGTTCCAAGGTTAAGTGAAAGAATATAAGCAAGAGCTAGGGGACTATGTTGACACATACAATGGAAGCAATCAAGATGGAAGTTCCAGATGGAATCATTCGTACAGGGCAGGAAACATGAAAGAGAACTTTATTCCTCACCTCCCATCAAACCTGTGCTTCAGGAAGTCAAACAGGGCTTTCTGCATCATGTCTGTCACCTTTCAGGGATGAGGAATATTGAGGAAGGATTGAGAACAGAGATAAAGAAGCCCGAGGTAAGAAAAGAGTTGGAAAGTAAAGACATTTGTGAACAGCCAATGCCCATTACATTGGTGTGAACATTTCAATTATGGGATACCCTCATTGGTCAGATCTCCTTCGACTGACAAATCCACTTTCTAGCTATACAGAAGGAATTAAATACATTGACTCTTCCCAACATTTGCAAATGAGATACCCCAAAGCGAGAGCTCTGCTTCCCTCATAAATAAAAAGGATATTCACAACACTCCCCAAACTATGTTGGCAATATGCAGAAATGAGAGGGTTTCTACCCTTTAACCCCACAGTGCAAGATTCAATCTGAGCAGGTTTTAAACTGCCCTGGGAGGGAGCTCAAGATAAGAACATTAGTTTTATTTTAATTTTAAAAAACCATGTTCTCTAAGTTGTATTACTCTGCAGCTTAAAGCATGTGTTTCACTTTGCATATATTATTCTGTCCAAAGTAAAGGCATTTCTCCCCAAAAGAGCAGGCAGAGTGATCAGATCAGGGAATAAAGCTGTGAGAACTGGTGGTCCACTTCTGGCAATCCAGATGTGAGCAGTCGCCCCACTTTAGATTTTATAGATCTATGGTCCTACCAGGAATGTAGATGGAAATCCATAGGCCAGAGCAGTGCATTTTGGGTAATTAACCATGTGCAGGTGGTTAATTGCTTATAGGGAACTGAGCCTGGTTCTCATTCAAAAGCAGCAGCAGCAGCACCCACCCAGTACTTGAATGGTTTGGGGGGGGGCGGAGCAGCAAAGAGGGTTGTGAAGGGCGGACCAAGCAAAGAGTTTAATAGTAACTAACGGGAATGTTTACCTCGTAGCCTTTTAGCGAGGGGCCAACTAGCACAACAGGCCTCATGGATGGTACTACATCGTAGGGTGGGATGTGTTCCGTCTAAAACAAGAATGGCATGTCCAATAAATGTATTGCCTTGAATGGATATTGTACGCTATTTCTACAGGGCACAAGGTGGGAGTTTGTATACTTACCACTTTCTGTTTCTGTTTTGCTGAAAGATCAATAAATAAATAAATATTACTTCGCTTAACCATGTAAAAAGTCACGCAGCATGCAAACTGCACAGCAATTCCATCTGATGGTAGCCGAAACAATTAGAAAAGCTAACAGTAAAGAATTTGCACATCTCTTGACTTCCTTCTGAAGAAGCAGCATTGTTTAGTTTGATGAGTGCATTTCAGTTGCTCGTTCCATTCATGTTCACCCCAGGATCCCCAGTTCAGGATCCCACCCTCCACCACAATTCATCTAGAACCAAAGGGTTTCCTTCGCCTTAGGTAGTAGTACTCTTCAAATCTCCTCTTAGTCACATGCAGTGACTTCCAGTGAGGCAGGCATCTAAATGACCCAAGCCTGGGCTGTGGTGTGTGTGTGTGCACGCACGCACGCACACATGCACAATCACATGGGTCTCTCCCCCCCCCCCCCAACAGCATGTCAATAACAAAGACTCATGCAGTTGGCTGAACCCACAAAGCAGAGGCATTTAGATACAGCCCACAGCCAAATGATGATCTACTCAGATACAAGCAGCCCCCACATTGCTGCTGGGAGGTCTCAAGGGCACCAGCACATTCCATATAGTATAAAGCAAAATTCAGCTGCAAGCCGACTTCTCTAGGGCCTGCTTAGAAGTCAGTAAAAACATTTTCATTGGTCACAAACCAACAAGGACCATTTTTACAACCAAAGTTTATTTTCACAGGCATTATTCAAAAGCAGCAACAGATCAAAAACAGCTATAAGATGTATCCTATGCAGAAAGCAAAACAGCTGCAGTAACTGGGTTTTGGCCCCTTTACATATCCATTTTGATATACCTATTTCTCAAGTTAAAATTTATTATGTTTACTCCTTATAAACGGTAAGCTCGGCTCAAAAATCCTTCAAAGCTGCAATTAATTCAATATATGCAGCTGCTTTCTTCCATCACCCACAGTAACCCTATTAGCATGAATGCAGGTTTGAACTAGGATTGCACAATAGATGGTGTCCTGCCTCCACAATCAAAGTTACCTTTAAAATTTAAGTGACTTCATTTTAACAGATATTAACACTCACCAGTGGAAGTGGGTGTAGCTCGAAAAGTACCAGACACCATTTCTCCAAGGCTTGAAGAAGAATTCCCACTTGATTTCCTACATTGTGAAGAATCTCCATTTAATATGTTGAGCAATCAGAGGATGATACTCAATAGGGTTTCGATTTTATTAAAGAACACACAGATTTATCTGTCCATTCTTTCTCCCATAAGGGAAAAAGAGACACTGAATAAATACGCATCAGGATAAGCGAAGAAGTTGATAAAATGAAGAATCCACATACAAACTATAATAAAATAACTACAAGGCAGAGAAATGCAATTATGCCCCCTTTAATCTCATCGTTTCCATACTCTCTGGTCAGTAAGTTACATTTGTGGACAGATCATCTTTCGATATTCTTCTAATTATTCAGTCACACACAATTCTCTACAAAGACTACCAAATCAGCCAATTTTCTTAGGCCCCAATTGTGTGGCAAAAGAATTGCACTGACTCTGAGAATTTCCCTCACTGCTCTGGAATTCTCTTTATGAATTCGTCATGATTTGCGTACACAAAGGTTATGCAGAGGTTAGGCTACATCAGGTCTTTCATGAGCATTCCTTCTGATTTGTTTGCGGGGTGATTATATGATAATAAGAAGAGAAACAGAGTTTGGATTTGATATCCCGCTTTATCACTACCCTAAAGAGTCTCAAAGAGGCTAACATTCTCCTTTCCCTTCCTCCCCCACAACAAACACTCAGTGAAGTGAGTGGGGCTAAGAGACTACAGAGAAGTGTGACTGGCCCAAGCTCACCCAGCAGCTGCATGTGGAGGAGCAGAGACGCGAACCCAGTTCACCAGATTATGAGACTACCACTCTTAACCACTATACCACGCTGGCTCCCTCATAATAAGCCCTCATGATGATTTGCTTGAACGGTGTTTATACATCTTGCCTGGCATTTAAACTCTCGTTCACCCCCATATTTTCAGTGAATTTTCCTGCCACTTTCCAAACTGCAAAATGTCCATTCCTCACCTTGAGTAAACAAAGGCCACCCTGAGTAACTTACTGAAAAGGCGAGACCAGCTAATAACACAAATGCTGCACTCAGATTTGTCTATGAGTAAAAGAAGTGTTTTTATCTTACCCTCCATGAAAACGCCCTCTCTTCTGCTCCTGCTGGATCCTGATGTTTTCCAGCCTAAGCGGACTTGGAATGAAGCCAATCTCGCAGCCTTCTTTAACTAATCTTCCTATCCACCAGTCATTGTTATATTTCTGTAACAAACGAGCACTTGATTTGAATCTTCCCATTTAATTGTGAACACAGCTTATTTTGCAAGCTTCTTCCACTACCAGCATCCACTCACCATTCCGCAAAAGCACCTTGCATACTCCTTGCAGTAGCTAATATAGTCAGGAATGGGGAATCTGTGGCTGTCCAGATGCCCCACCATCCCTGCTGACCTCTGCCCATGCTGACTGGGACTGATGAGAGGTAGAGTCCAATAACATATGGAGGCCACAGATTCCCTGTCTCTGTTCTAAATGTACTACCCAACAAGCATGATATGTATTAAGGAGAGAACAGGTAGCAAAATGTGGGCACTTTTCTAAAAAGACAGATAGGGAGAACTGCTTGAAATGCGACATGGTGCTTCTGTTTTTTCTCTTCTTCCCTGCTAGTCCTACAAACCTAATCCAAAGATTCACGGACACATTAGCTTTCCCTATGCAGTGAGATTTTGACGTGAGGAAGACAGACAGACAGAAATTATTCACATCCATCTGGAGGAGGTACCATCCTGTTACGACAGTAGCTCCATCAGGATGGTACTATTCACTCTTCCCGATCCCTTGAATAAACTCTTAAAAACGTAAGATGCTGGACCAGCATCCTGGTCTCACAATGGCCAACCACAGACAAGGGAGACCTGACTGCCCCACTTGTACTTCTCAGCACCTGGTATTCAGAAATATACTGCCTCTGACAGTGGAGGCAGAACATAGCCATCATGACCAGTTAACATTGATAGTCTTAGCCTCCATTAATTTTAATACAGGTTGACCAAGTGCAAATAAGGAAGTGTACACATATCTGTTAGTTTTAGCAGTGAATCTGTTGTGGAATCAAACTCACAGCATTTTGGTACGTGGATCATCTTTCCCCCAAGATTAAACTTAGGTGAAACCTTCTGATTTTCACAAGAAATTAAACCTCACCCTTGTATAAATAATAAAGCTACCTGCTTTTTAAGAACAGTACAGTAAATAGCACCCAACAGGCATTTGAACAAACGCACAAACTCCTTGAAAACCAAAGTGGGCAGCTCACCTGAAGCATTAATGGGGAGACTGCTGGATCCAGGTGTGTGTGTGTGTGTTGTTTGGGGCGGGGACAGAAGAGCTGAGCTCACCCTGCCATGGGGGGTGGGGGTATCACTTGCTGTGTGAAGGTACTCCTGTACGAAGCATAAGAATACATCTGCTTTTCTTTGTTACCCATTTTCCACGCATAACTTCCAGTTTGCTGTCCAAGTCAAAGGGCAAGATGGCACCTTTTCCCGATCCATGTGCAAAAGCCAACCGGACTGGAAGCTGAAACTTACTTCAATGTTACTATAAGCAGCCTCTGTTACACCTTAGGGCAGGAAGCTGCCTTAGGGCAAGCTGCATGGCACATACAGCTCTGTCTGCCAACTCTTCCCTGCTACTCTCCACCCCTCAGCACCGGCCACCTGAGGAAACTGCCTCACTCTGCCTAATGGTAGGACTGGCCCTGACACTTTGCCTCCACATTCATTCTTTTAACTGTGCTGCATGCAGATGTCAAGATGTGCATCTGAGCTATGTTTCAAGGGCGCACAATGTGCATGCTCAAAATACGTAAGCTTATAAACCCAAGAGGGATCAAATTATGTGTCTGCCCAAGCATTTTGATTCCTAGTCCAGGCCTAGCCACCTCCACCCCTGCAACCTGCCCACGTGTCCACCTGACACTATTATCCTCTCTTTCCCCCCCACTTTCTTGCAACAGGGAAAAAAATGAATTCATGGTGAGCAATGCAGAATGCAAATGATAAAACTGCAGTGGGACAGGTTTGGAAAGCATATGTCGCTTGCTACTTATACTCACACAACAAAAGTGTGTGTTGGGGGGGATATTGGAAAAGACCGTGCAAATTAAAGAAGTAACAAAGGAAGGGTGAAAGGAAATGTCAGCAAGGAGGAAGGGCAGCGACCTAAGAGACATTTGCAAGGCTCAGTACATAGGCAAGTCCTGGGATTGGATCAGAAATGCAATTAGCAGTACAATACACACATTCATCAGTTGATAGGGTGGGTGTTTATGAGGGTGTTTCATGACATCTGGGAAGTGGGCTACTAGATTATTGGTAAGCCTGTAAAAATGCTTATCTCGTGCCCAAAGTTGAGCTACAAAGATGCTTCGTGCTTAGCAAGGTTACTCCCATTACGAAGCACCTTCCATATGTTCTTCAAGGCATATCTGAATCTTCAGCGTAGGGGTAAGAAGTACATTTCCCTCCTGTTGGTTGCTGAGCCTGGAATGTTTATGCATTGCCAATAATTGTTGTCACTTAATCTGTTTTGAAAGTGCATAATGTATGGTCCAACGGGTGACAGATGAGACATCTTGAATACAGAGAGCCATCCATTCTTGCTGACATTTCAAGCTTGTTGCGAAAGTGACCTTCCCAGAGGCCGAAGCTAGACATGAAACACAGTTGAGTGCGTATTTTCCCCTAAGACTTTCTTTTTTAAAAACAAAAACCCAGAAGTAGCTGTGAGTTTAATCAATGGAAAAGGTGGGAAGGGGTTGTTCACTCAACCATTTTTCCACCTCCCCAATTCTGTCCCTGGTTCTTTTCCACCTTCAGGGAGATATATGGGTGAATATTGCTCGAACGCATAAAATAATTTCCAGCTCAATGTCATGTCCAGCTCTAACAGAACTTATATCCTATTAAAAACAATCATGCAGATAAAGTCTCTACTGTAGAGCACTGAGCTGAACACCTTTAAGATGAGACTAGTCATTTAATGAAGAGTTACAGCTGTCCTTAATGGTGTCATAGGCAGCATGGGGAAGGGTACATAATTGTGCAGGAAACTTGTCCCTGACAGGTAACTTCTCCCCTACTCACATCCCATTCCCAATAAGAAAAGGCACTTTCCCCATATAATTATAGCGGACTCGTAAACTGAAAATTCACACAGGGTTGAAATAAGAAGAGCATTGCTGGATCAGACCAAAAGCCTATCTAATCCAGTCTTTGATTCTCACAGGAGCCAGCATGTGCCCACTGGAAGCCCACAAGAATGATGGGAGCACAATGGCACTCTCCCTACTCATGTCCTTCAGCAAGGGATATTCAGAAGCATACCACATTTCATAGGAAGAATTGGACACAACCATCACAACTACTAGCCACTGATAAGCCTTACCATCCATAAATAACACTAAGCACGCTAACGTGAAAGTTAACTCCATCAAAACAAGACACATTTCAAAGAGGACATAAGATGGGTATGTTGATGTGAAACATACCAATATCTGTCTTTCAGAAACCTAACTTGTGGAACAAAGTTTGTCCCCCTGCCAAAGTAGACTTTACCATCTCTATGCTCCCACCAAGTATTTCGCCCCTTCTTGTGCCTTCATTGGATGATGCATGCATCGCACATGACCTCCTTCATTCAAAGAGTGGGGAGTTGAAAATAGGTAGTTAAGGCAGAGATTTGCTGTAGGAAATTCCACATAAACACACATAGGATCATGCTTTAAGTCTAGGAATGGGGAACTTATGCCCCTCCATACACTGTTGGACTACAATTCTCATCCTCTCTTCTCGCTGCTGATGTTGGTTGAGGCTGATGGAAGTTGTTGGCAGTGGCATAGCGTGGGTTGTCAGCACCCGGGGCAAGGCAAGTAATTTGCGCCCCCTAACCCGTGGATTTGCGCCCCCTAACCTGTGGATTTGCCCTAACCCCAGATGTTGCGCCCGGTGCGGCCGGCCCCCCCTGCACCCCCCACGCTACGCCACTGGTTGTTGGTGTCAAACAACTGGAGGGGCACAGGTTCTCTGCCCTGGATATAAGTGATATAAATTTGTACCTTGGAATACAAGTATATATAAAAATTGGGAAATCGCTGGGAGGCTGTAGGAAGAGATGGAGTCAGAATTCCTATTAAAGAAAGTCTTGAGCTGTCCCCCAGTAGCAGGAGAGATGGGTCTTCTATGACACAAATATTCTAGCACTGTTATAGCAAATGCTACACTGTATGAGTGATAATTAAAATGGAAGCATATATACACGCGTATGTCTGTGTGTATGTTTGTGTGTTCATGAAATACATTGGCTAAGCAATATTGTGTATGGGGCATAGCACAGCTGATAGTCAGCTTGCAGTTTGATAACTCACTAGCATGCAGATCGCAAGAAGCAGACAACCCACCACCTCAGAAGGAAATTGTCTGGTATCACTTAGACACCCAGAAGGACATGACACCAAAGCCCAATTCATTCATTAACCTTTGTGGCCCGATAGCTGCCAAAAAGTGAGAAAGTCCCACAGTATATTCCTTTAACTCCTATTTAAGGTTTGCTAAACACACCTTTGCTTTTAAACAAGCATGAATTAACATAAGCCTCCCTGGGTCTCGGTGTTGGTTCACTGGTCTAGAATTCAAGTTGTCCCAACAGGCACCCTTGGTGCTGTTTAAAATTTTGATCAGGGTGAATTATCCTGGGTGTCACACTCTCTAATCAACTATATGCTCTGCGCGATGCTGGCTGCTTTTCAGCATCAGTTTTGTATCTTGCATGGCTCAAAGCTAACTGTTCAGGCTCAAGCTACTGGCAGATAAGAAGAGTAATTACATTGTGTAGTTCAGTGTTTCCCAACCGGTGTTCCGCGGCACACTAGTGTGCCGCGAGACGTTGCCTGGTGTGCCACGAGATGTTGCCTGGAGGGAGGCGGGCGAGTCGGGCGGCGAGAGGCGGGGCGGCGGCGGCGAGGAGAGGCCGCCCAGCGCGGGGCTCTCGCCGTCTGCCTGCCTGGCTGCCTGCGTGGCGCTGACGTCACGGGGCTGTAACGTGCCCCACATAGGCACACGCGGGGCGGCGAGCGAGCTCCCTCCCACATCCCATCGCCGCTCGCTTCGGCCGGCCTACTGGGCTGTCGCAGGCGGAAGGCCTGCGCATGCGCGAGGTTTTCGCGCCTTCGGGATTCCCTTCACACCTTCCTCCTCCCGGGTCCTTGAGAGCGCGGGAAGCGGCAGCGCGAGACCGGCGTTGAGCCTGGTAGGTATTGCGCTTGCCAAGGCAGTCATTTGGGAAATGAAAACTTGCAAAGCAAGCAACCAGTTCAATCTGAAGTACGTGTATGCTTAATATCCTGTATCTGAAACCTGTTCTGCCCCCTCCCCCACACTTGGTGCCATTTTCATCTACACATGCAGCAGAGTAAGTTGACCCAGAATAGTACCAATTCAGATGGCAGATGGGAGAATGACAGTGCTGAATGCTTTCCCATGTAGAACAGTCCCTGCAAATAAAAACCTAGCATATTTGGAAGAGGGATGCTAGCCTAACCATTACCTTCTATGCTGTTACTATTTTTTTATTTTTTTTTACATAAGTAAAAAGTGACCTTTCCCCATCTGGCATGGTGGTGTGCCTCGAGATTTTTTTCATGAAACAAGTGTGCCTTTGCCCAAAAAAGGTTGGGAAACACTGGTGTAGTTACCTCTTTAATGTGTAGAAAATCCTTAGCATCAAAAGAGATGGCAGTGCTTGGTACAGGAACATCTTCATCCAGTGCTCCACAGTAGCTCACATTAGTCTTAACGGCAAACGCTACAGGCTTTGACTAGGAAGAGAAACACAGTTCTGTAAAACAGGGGCAGGAATGAGAAAGTGACCAGTCATGCAAAGCCGATGGAACAAGGGAAAGGGGACTCCCTGAGTACCAGGAGACTCATGTTCTGTAAAGCAGAGGCTCAGATAACAAAGTTCCAAAGTGTTCTCCAACCAATGCTGGTTTGAGACATACACAGACAGCCAAAAATCCTCACACTGAGGCTGAATTTGTAGTGTGAGTATTGTACCGTATGAGACCATGTTTTACCCAAACAACGAAAAACTGAGCTTGCTTCCTGTTGCACAAGATTACTTGCATTTCAAAAAGAAACTGGCAAGCTAGCACATGGCTAGTTTAGTAGCTATTAGATAGTTTTGAAGGCTCCTGCTCCTTCCCTACTTTCAACTCTTCTTCTAGGTAATCCAATAATATCTGGCACCCGAATGGCCATTTATTTTTCTTGGTCCAGAATTCAGTTGCTTTAATTGCATGGCATCCCAGCCTAACGGACCAAGGAACAGGAAAATGTCTGGAATGTACAATGAGTTAATTTGCCCCCATATAAACTGAAACTATTTTAGAATCTGGTGATTCCCCTCCTAGGTTTGCTGTATTTGCTTTCATCCCTAAACAAACTAGCTTTTAACTAGATATTAAATCACTCAGAAATTAAGTTTTCCGTCTCTAGGGCTGCCAAGGCAACAGCATACTGGATCAGGATGATGCTCTTTTTTTAGTTTAATTTCAAATACATAAAAGTGGGGGGAGGCAAAGCCTATAGGTGCAAGAAGTATCTTTTGACAAACCGGTTTTCACATGCCTTAACATATTTTGGCATCTGTGATCCTCCTCAGGGGAAGAGCACAGATGTTTGAAATTTGAATTAGAAAAACAGCTTGTCAAAAACAAAAAGCTCTTCTTGCCTCCTCGCCTATTCTTCATTTTTATGCTATGCGGTGTAGCCCCTCCGTCTGGTTGCAGTTAATTTAAAACAGACCCTATAGCTGGAAAACTGCAAGAAAACTGCAAAAATATATTTGAGTAATTTGCACATTAATGTAGTTCCCCCTATATTTCCAAAGGGGGTAAATACCAGGAATAGGGGGCTATTACCAGTTACATGTTCACAGTGGGCTGGTACAAAAATAGCATTTTCCACCCTGTATGACTGTGAAGAGAAGTTTGGAATCTTCCATGGCTGCTTTACAGCCCCTCCAGAAGACCTGCTAATTGAGCATTCATCCTGATCTGCATGCACAAAGCTGAAGTGGAAGTTAAATTATATCCTGTCTTTATTCAGCATTCGTCTTAATTTGGTTGCAGCAAGGTTATACTACAATAAACATTCTACCTGCATTCACCCTGATTTGCTTGCAGGGGTGTTTATTCGTCTTTCCATTAAATCATTCATTCACCCCACACTTTTCACTGCATTCCCTCCCCCCCCCAACTTCTTCTTCTAAGCGAATTTGTTGTGCTATGGAGAAAGAGTCCTTTAATCCCCTTTAACTGCACAAACCAGAACCAACTGCAATTAGTTTTAACTATGGTTTGTTGAATCATAGTTAAGATCAACTATAGTTTAGGACTGGGATGTAATGCTAAACTATGGCCAATCTAAAACGGACATGGGCATTTCTGATCTCGTCACGGTTGTGCCAAATAAGGGGTAAAGGAGCAAATGAGTCAGAGGCTCACTGCAGCTTGCCCTTGTAACATTAAACAATTAGCATTATGTGTTCACCCTGCCGTTGGCTCCCCCATCCAACGGGCATCCGGCAGAGGAGGAAGCTGCTCGGGTGCCTGGGACGACGCACCCAGGGGCAGGGCAAACCATCCATAGGGGCGGAACCGTCCATAGGGGGTGGGGTGAGCTGCCCGTGGGGGCAGGGTGAGCAGCCCTTAGGGTGCACTGCGGGGCCTCCGGAGTCTGCCTGCCTCTTCCCACTCAGCTGCCCTACAGCTGGGGGGGGGGAGGCAGCGGGCGGCACAGAGCCTGTGCACGCCCAGAGCAGTACAGAGCCTGTGCAGCACAGAGCCTGTGCACGCCCAAGCCACTGCGTCTCTCCCAGGAGAGACGCATGGCTCGGGCACACTGTAGACCCCGCAGTGAGTGCCATCCGCCATTTTGTCACACACACCCCAGTGGTGACACCCGGAGCAGCCTGCTCCCACCGCACCTCCCTTGCTCCGCACCTGCTGGCATATCCTTTTTATGAGAGGGGTTGGGAAAGGGGGAAAAGAAGTTAAGGAAAGAAAGAGAAACACCTTTGCTCTTTCAAGCTGAATAGCCGCCTGCTGTTCTCTTTCCTGACGGATTGCTTCCCTGTCCTCTTCGAGAGATACATCAGAATCTGATGGTCTGCTTGTGTACGAATCTGCTGATCCCTAAAAAGAAAAGGACGCTATTAACAAAAATGATGGATGGAGTTCCGAAAGATGCCAAATATGCAAGGGGGGGGGGAATCACCCAAGGTCATAGATTTATTTTTAAACACATTTGAGCTTTATGTTTTATTTACCATTTTGACCAAAACAAAAAACAAAACAAAAAACTTTGCAGATTTTTATTGCAACAGAGTGGCTTTTTTTAAACTGTTGTTTTCTTTCTCTTTTCAGGCAACAAATTCAAACACAGAAAATATATGTTTAAGAAATGGTGGGTCTTTGTTTTTGCTTTTTTGTGATTTTTCATATAAGCATCATAAATCAAGTAGCACTGCACACATCACAGCAACTTATTACAAGAGTGAAACCTTGTTAGGTAGTTTAGAATGGAAATCACCCTTCTCTTGAAAATGTAGTGTCAAATTTAATCAGCGCATAGCAGGGACCAATAAAATTCACTTCTCTGAGTAAATTGTATTGTTTGTGTATTTGAATTTCACACGCAGTGCATGTTAGCTCTTATATCCTGTGGCTTATATCCTGGGAAGTGTGTTTAAGCACTGCAGTCAGACAGTAAGGGGACTCAGAAATTTCCCTTTCTTCACTTGTGGCACCAAAATGTTTAGTCAAGTTGCAAACAATTTCGCAACCCACACTAACCAAAAACAACAACAAAAACCCTCCACCATTTGTAACAGCAGGTCACACTAAACCATGGTTTACCCCAACAGGAAAGAACCTAGGCAACACCTTCAGCTTGCATGATCCTCCTTCCTCCTCTAGCATAGCCACTAGAAGTTTGGAAGCTTTCACTTCTGGTTCAGACGTGAAAACCATCTGTCAGAATTAGTCCATTTTAAGTATGATGCAAATAGCATGACTAGAATCCTCACACCTGATTGCTTCCCATCAGTTCTTTAAAATGTAATTGCTGAAGCCCTAAAATATGGTGCTTCTCGAGCTTACATGTCGAATGTCTTACGTTTTTATGATGTTGTTAATGCTTTATTGCAAGTTTTTAAAATATTTATTGTATTTGAAGGATGAGGTATAAATACTCAGAATATTTTGATCCATAGCCACAATGGGTTCCTTTCACCTTGCTTAGTTTTTTTACTTGCAATGTATACAGCAAATTCCTTACACATATAGAATGGTAGCATTATTTCTACCTACCTACCTATTATTATCCCAGTAGTGATGTATGGAAGTGAGAGCTGGACCATAAAGTAGGCTGATCGCCGAAGAATTGATGCTTTTGAATTATGGTGCTGGAGGAGACTCTTGAGAGTCCCATGGACTGCAAGAAGATCAAACCTATCCATTCTTAAGGAAATCAGCCCTGAGTGCTCACTGGAAGGACAGGTCCTGAAGCTGAGGCTCCAATACTTTGGCCACCTCATGAGAAGAGAAGACTCCCTGGAAAAGACCCTGATGTTGAGAAAGATGGAAGGGCACAAGGAGAAGGGGACGACAGAGGACGAGATGGTGGGACAGTGTTCTCGAAGCTACCAGCATGAGTTTGACCAAACTGCGGGAGGCAGTGGAAGACAGAAGTGCCTGGCGTGCTCTGGTCCATGGGATCACGAAGAGTCGGACACGACTAAACGACTAAACAACAACCTATTATTATTATTATTATTATTATTATTATTATTATTATTATTATTGCAGGTGCTGCTGTACATCAAGAGTTACAATCCTGTTACCCAGAAACCGCCAATTCCAAAGAGGCATTGCATTTTTACAGCAAATTTCAAATCGAACATGACAGAAAAGAACGAAGTGGAAAATACACATTCTAAAAAAAGAAGATAATGAATCAACAGAGTTCATTTTAAAGAAGTCCATTTAAAACCACTCTTCTCACTGCTGTGATAAGCAGTGTTATATGTTTATTTCACAGCGAAGTAATCAAAATCCTTTTTTTAAAGCATGACGCTGACTAACTGGCATCCCTGAAGCTGTGCAAAAGGAGAATATTTTTTTTTAAAAAATGAGTCAGCAGCAGCAAACAGAACGTCCTGCAGCCAAATCACTCCTTGAAGCCTATTCAAGCAGGGGGTGTAAAAATTACCTCCAAGTAACTTTATGGGCCCCTCTAGGTAGGAATGCAGAAATCATGGACTCTTATTTGCTTGTCCCTTGCACTGGCAGCCAAAATGGCATATGGCAGCAACTCCAGAGCATGGCATGGCCAACACTACATCACCCCACATTTTAGTTCATCTTTTCTTAACTGCCTTGTTACACTGAACTGATTGTTGTGATGGGTTAAGAATGGAACACATCAATGCCAGTTTCCAAAGCAAAACGTTTTTAGCAGGGAGTGTGGAATAGCTGGAACTGAGTTCAGTAGCTTATGCAGTCCCATGGACTCAGGACTGCTAGGTTGCAGAAAGTCCTCTGCTAAGAATGATCCTTTAAATATATATATATATATATTATTAAATTTCCATACCGCCATTCATCCTAGGATCACAGGGCCATTCACAATAAATGATGCAAGTTCTTGAATCAGTCAGATTTAAAAAGGTACATTAGGAGGTTGTAGCACAAACAGATTTAAATAATTACTCAGATCAGATAAGATGTTACATCAACATTGGTTGGATGGCAAAACAGCTTCAAAGAATCCATCATGAAACCACACATAAAATAAGTTTAGTTCTGTCACCTTTACATAAACTGGGATTGCAGTTTCTATATCCTACAATGGGTATTAATTAACTCAGCGATGATAGGGTGCTTATTTTATCCTCAATTACAGCTGTTGTGAATGGCTACGGAGCTTTTTTTTGTATATGTTTAAGTTTTAGTGAAATTTACACAGACTCCTTTGTGTGTTTCACACCTATCTGCACATATAACAATTCATACATTTGATGAAGCTGACCCTAATCCACACAAGATTATGCCATAATGAATTTGATAAGTCTTTACAGTGTCACAGGACTCTTCGTCATTTTTGCTGTTGCAGATGAACATGACAACCCCTCTGAAAATTTGCAGAATTGTTAGCTTGCTCCATAGAATGAAAAAAAAAAAGCAAATACCTACACCCATTTTTCTCTGGAACTCGCTGTCTGTGGGCAATGATCCTGTGACCCCCCCAAAAGCCGAAAGACCTCCTATTTTGCACATGCAATAGGTTGCATTCACGTGTATTTTAAAGAGAACTAACAGAGCAATCATAACCATGGAACTTTATGCTTCAACACTCCATTATGTTTGAAAAAGGCTCACAACTTTAATAGCCCTGATTGTATGGACCATGTTCACAACAGCACCGATGGCTCCAAATGCTAGTGTGGATACTCTTTGGGCCTATCCAGGCATCCTTTTTAAAAAATTATTGCAAATCTATGATGGTTTGTGATCTTGATCATATTGGCATGCTCACAAGTACTCCCACTATGAATGCTGTTTGTGCTGTAAAAGGTTTTAGGGTGGTCACACTGCTTCACTTTCTATCAGTGCATATCCCATAACATCCTGATGAAATCCAGTTTTACATTACAGATGTTCTGGTTTATTTTTGTGCTACTTTTGCTGCGCTATAGCCCATCTGGACAGCAATAATGTGGTAGCATTGGGGAAGCATCGCAGAACAAACTGCAGCAGAATAAATCCATCACTAATGCCCAATTGTTGCAGAATACACCCGCAATGGTCTGGAGGAGCATCCATCCATATAGTGAGCCACCTTCAAGCCTTGTGGTTCCCCTATGGAATGTAGCCACATCAAAGCAGTTTTCAGCAAGTGGAGCTGTAAGGTTTGAACTGGGCCTCAGACACAGGAGGAGCACATAACACAATATACATCCAGTGAGTATACACTGCTTGTTGCCATAAGGTAATGTTTGATTGAACAAGATGTCACTGTGCATACCCTCAAAATAAGCATATGGTTTTTTAAAATCCAATTCCTTCTCTCTCTCCCTCTCTATTAAGTATATCATACTCATTGTCTGAAGAAGTAAGAATAATAAAAAAGCATCATGCTGTAAAATAATTAGGCTTCCAAATACAGAATAGACATTTATGTATACGTAACAGAGCTCTGGAACTGTGAATATAGGGACCGAATGGGTTCCAAAGATAACAGCTGATTAATTAATGTCCATAAAGCACTTTGAAGATGTAGAGGCCTATAAAAATGCCAGAGATTACTGCTACTATTTTACAGGCTACCTACACTCAACAGCAGCCAAAAGAAAAATGATGGCCTGCGGACAATAAATCAAAGGGCATAATAAACACATACTATATATATATTGTGCAGGAACAGTGGCTTTCTTCTTGGCTACTGCTACACTATTTATACAATACTGCATTAGGAGAATATTGGAAGATTTCCCAAGTCAACCGTGGCCTCTGGATTCTACCCCCACCCTCTGCCCCATGCCTAATGCCTAATGCAGAGATTCTAAGTCACCAGAGAAAGGAATAGAGCTATGTGCCTAGTTATAGGTCAAGTAATTGTGTCTCTCCGGTTCAGTCTTTTACTTGGAGCAAGAGAACTTACTAGACAACAGAGCAGCATTATCTTGTTCTGTGTCCTTATTCTCGCAAAATTGCTAAAGGCACTTTGAATATTTCTTCTCTTTCCAAGAACAGGCAGGCCTCCCCAATCACAGTGTGTAATAAAGTCTGCAAGCTGCTGAAAGGTAAATCCGAGGCTTTAAAAATAATAATCAGTCCAAGTAGTGAAAGCAACTGCTTTCTGAGATAACTTGCCAGTATGAGGCTTGGAATAACAACAACAACAACAACAACAACAACAACAACAACAACAACAACAACAACAACAACAACGATGAAAGAGTTCCACCTTTGAAAAGCCACAACAACAACAACAACAACAACGAAAGAGTTCCACCTTTGAAAAGCCACAACAACAACAACAACAACAACAACAACAACAACGATGAAAGAGTTCCACCTTTGAAAAGCCACAATACTCTGCCATGCCAACATTAACTCAAAGGTAGGATTTA